AAAAAAAAAAAAATGAAAATGAAAATAAAAACATGCCAAACCAAAACCAAAACACACAAAAAGCTAAGAAGTTTGTTTTATGTTGACCTACTGCTAGTCATGAGACTTGCCCTAAAATGTGATTGATATACCCACTGTCACTCCATTGCTGACATTTATGCTAACATAAACTCTCATTTGCACAGAGCATCTTGGTTAGGGGTGGGACTTTGTGTCCCCTTCTGCTGGGATTTTGTCTTATCAACCCATGTAGGTCTTGTGTGTACTGACTGCTGCAGTCTCTGTGCATTCATATGTGTATCAGCCCTGTTGTGTGTAGAAGGTGCTGTTTCCTTGGAGTCAACCACCACATCTTGCTCTTACAATCTTCCTGCATACTTCCCCTGAGTCTTGAGGGGGAGGGGTTTGATTGCGACATCCCATTTAGGTCTGAGTGCTTCAAAGTCGCTCACTTTCTGCACATTGTCCACTTGTGGGTCTGTCTCTCTGTTAATAATCATGTACTGAAAGAAGCTTTTCTTAGGAGGGTTGAGTGATGCTTTGTTCCATGGGTATAGCAACATGTCATTAGGAGTTCTTTTATGGCTGTGTTCCTTTAGCAGAATAATAGTAGTAAATTTTCCCCATGACCTGTGTAGTCCCAGGTCACTTCAGCTGTGTCAGGTGTAGGCTCCATCTTAATGCAGTGGGCCTTAAATCCAACCGGGGGTGGGGCGAGGTAGTTGGTTGCTCCTAGAACATTTGTGCTACTATTGCACCATTATATCTTGCTGTTTTTTTTTTTTAAGAGTTGTATTTTATTTAGTCTTTGACAGTCTCATACATGTGTACAATATTTCTTGGTCTGTTTATTTCCAGCTCCTAGTTCCCTTCCCTTTCCTCCCTCTACTTTTTTTTTCCTTTTTTTTTTTTTTTTTTTTTTTGAGACAGGGTCTCTACATCCCAGGCTGGTCTACNTTTTTTTTTTTTTTTTTTTTTTTGAGACAGGGTCTCTACATCCCAGGCTGGTCTACATCCCTGGAACTCTCTATATAGATGAGGCTGCCTCCCAAATGCTGGGATTAAAAGCATGCGCCACCACGTTAGTTACCTTACTTTCTGAGACAAGGTCTTTGACTGAACCTGGAGATCCCTAGTTAGGCTAGACTGACTGACCAGTGGACTCCTAACTCTGCTTCTACTTCCAGTGCTGGCATTACAGGTGCATGCAGCTGCCTTTGGCTTTCTTCATGGTTCCCAACTCAGGCCCTCATGCTTGTACAGTGAGCACTGTACGGACTGAGTCATCTCCTAGGCCCTTCTTGTGCTTCCTTAATTTTTACTGTTGGTATATGTGTCTCTGTGGGGTACATACATATGAATTCAGGCCCTCAGAATCCTGAAGTATCAGATTTCCTGGAGCTAGACTGGAGTTATGGGTGGTGTGAGCTGCTTGATGTGGGTACTGCGAATCAAACAAACTTGGGCCATCTACAAGAGCAATACATGCTTTTAACCTCTGAGCCATCTCTCCAGCCCCTAGTTTTTTTCTTTTTTAAAGACAGAGTTTCTCTGTGTAACCACCCTGATTGTATTGTAACTTTCTCTGTAGACCAGGATGGCTTCAAATCACTGAGATCCACCTGCTTCTGGCTCCTGAGTGCTGGGATTAAAGGTGTACACCACCACCAGCCAACTCAAGTATTACTTTTCAGGAGTTTTTTTTAAGTATAAAAATTTATGAATATTGTATTGTTTTAGTATATGCCATGCTCAGTTTTCTAGCATTTTACTATGTAGTATGTTGTACTTGTTAGAGTTAACAAATGAATACCAGCTCACTGTTATTAACAGAGGTTTGTTCTTTGTATTCAAATTGTGTTAGTTTTTAGCCAGTGTCCCCCATATCCTTTTTTCCTTCCTGTTTGAGACTTTCATCCAACAAATCACACTGCATTTGATCGTGCAGTCATGCAGTTGTAGGCTGGGCTTGGCTAGAGCAGCTTCTCAACTTTATTTTTATTTTAGTGGTCTTCTCTTTTTATTATTATTGTAAGTGTGCATGATGTGAGGTATGTATTCAGATATGCATGTGGAGGTCAGAGGACAACTTTAGGGAGTCAGTTCTCTCCACTGTGGTTTCTGGAGTTTGAACTCCGATCAGTAGGCCTGCACAGCTACCTAACGTGGGTGCTAGGAACTGGAGGTGGGCCCTCTGCGAGAGCAGTACATGCTCTTAAGCACTTCGTTATATCCCTAGCCCACACAGTTGGCAAGCTTTATTCTGCTTAAAGAACACATATGTTATTTGCAGAAACCTAGGGCCATATATCATCTTATTAAACAAAATAAGCTATACTCAGAGAGACAAATATCACTCTGTCTCACATATGGAATCTAGGGTGTGTGTATGTGTTTCATAAAAGACATGGAGGAGCTATTTGAGCAAAGGAGAGAGACAAATGAGTAAGGAGAGTGAAACTAGGATGGTGGTGGTATTAATATGTTCAAATGCATGATAAACTGGAATGATGTGTATTTTGAAGCCTTTCATTTTGTAAATATAATGAATATATGCTAATAAAAATCCAAAGAAAAAGAGTTGAATAAAATGGGAGTTGGTATTCAATTTTATGGATACTAATAAAGTGTGTGGTATAATTATTGCATCTAATTTTTAGCAAATAGGTGGACCAGAGTTTCTTAGAAAAGCAAGCAGTAAGTTGTTACATTTAATTCCTTGTAATCATAGGCCCAAGAAGATGCTGAGAAGCTCCGCTCTGTCGTGATGCCCATGGAGAAGGAAATTGCAGCTTTGAAAGATAAACTGACAGAAGCTGAAGAGAAGATTAAAGAGCTGGAGGCCTCAAAGGTTGTAAAATGCTGTTTTCCATCTGCTCTGATGCCAGGAGCAAAATTAGAATCACTTAAGTAGTGGTGGGAAATGACTGCATCCAGCATCTCAAGGATCTTGCTTCTGTTTAAAATTCAAAAACAAAATGAAAACAAACCAGCTCTGTGGTAGTTTGGCCTTAGGTTATTTAAACCCTCAGTGATGCTGCCTAGTCACGAATGAAGACTTGTGTTCAGTCACCCGCTTATCCAAGTCAGACTCAACTTCAACTTTCTTTTTTCTTTTAACAGGTCATCTTTATTGGTTTATTTTTGTAAGACAGGGTTTCATGTAACCCAGGCTGGCCTTGAACTTGCTGTTCGTGCGTATTTTACAAGGCTCTGGACATCAGACCCACCTGAGCTACATTTCTAGCCTTTGTTTTCTTACCTAGTAGAAGAAGCTGTTTACAGTTGACTGTAGTTCTAGGAGATCTTTTAGACACGATGGACCTCTGTTGACCATGTAGACAGCAGGGCTGGGGTGTGGCTTCTTGGGGGCAGTGCCTCTCCAGCATGCTTAAGGCCTAGACTTTGATCTCAGCCCTGCTTAAGCTGGGATGTGGAGGCAAGAGGGCATTACATTCAAGGTCACCTTCAGCTCCATAATGAGTTTGAGGCCAGTTTGTATTACTGGCCTCAAATGGATGGATGCTGCCTTTAAAAAGCCACACCAAAGAAAAACAGAAGTGGAAACAATGAGGTGTTAAATTTTTTATGTCTGATTTTAGTGCTGGAGATTGAACCTAGGGCCTTATTGACATATGCTAGGCAAGAGTCTACCACTGAGAAAATTCTTTCGTATGAAAGAAAGTGAGAGAGTAGAGGTGCAGTTGAGTGGTACACTGCCTGCATTTGTCTAGTATGGTTGAGGGCCTGAGTTTAATATTCAGTACTAAAGAAAAACTGATATAAGCAAGTATAACATAAAATAGGTAAAGGGGGAAACGTAGAGATTAGTGCTAGAGAGATGGCTCATCTGTTAAAAGTGCTTACTGTTCCTGTAGAGAACCCCAGGATTAGCTCCAATGCCCACATGTCTACTCACAGCCATCTGTAATCCCAGTTTCTGGGGATCTGACGCCCTCTTCTGCTGTCTGTGGCACTAGCATATACATGGTGTACATGAATTATGCAGGTACATACACAGAAAAGAATTGCAACAAAAGAAGAGTAGAGATAAAAAGATAATAACTATTCAGTAGCCAAAAACTCAGCATTTAGTAGCCTGGATAACTTAGTAAAATTTCTTATCTTTATTTTCCTTGTTTGTTTTTCAAGACAGGGTTTCTCTGTGTAGCTTTGGCTGCCCTGGCACTCAATCTGTAGACCAGGCTGGCCTTGAACTCACAGAGATCCACCTGCCTCTGTCCCTGAGTGCTGGGATTAAAGGTTTGTACCACCACTACCTGGCCATATCCTTTGGTTTTTCAACTGTAAAATTAGAATAGTAAGAGAGGCAGGGTTCAAAAAGAAGAAAAAAGATGTGGATAAGTTAGGGAAAATGTCTTTTCCTCTGCCAGGAACCACTAACTAACTGTATAAATCCTCAGGGAGGAGTGGCCTTCACGACAGAATGGTGATGGGTTCAGTCCTGTGCAGGTAGTCACAGCTGCTTCTGCAGCAGCCATTTCCTGCCCTGAAAAGTGTTTCCCCATACTCCACCACTTGCTCTGGCCTTGGAAGGGAGGTATTCAACAATAGCTTACTTGCAGTACTTTGCCCAGTTATACCTTTATGCACTACTACCTGTTACAAAAAGAAGCAAACAGCAGCACTGTTCTAGGGAATAAACATAAATATCTAGAAGGCAATTTGACAATCACATATGTCCACTTAGCCAAACAAATTAGTTTCTCCACTAAGGCCTATGACCTTCCAGCCATGGGTACATTTCCCCTGTCTGGTTGGTTACATTGCACTCAGAGTCTGCAACTGAGTGAGTGAGACTGTTGGTGACAATTTTCTTCCATCAACCTACATAGCAACTTCTAGTATTCTGAAAGCTAGCCGGTAAGAAGGAAGCTTTGAGCTTAGGCCTATCTTGATTTCTTTATAAATCTATAATCAAAGCATGTAGTGTCTTCAGCAGTGGGGTTTTGTCATCTAGTTCTGATAGGCAACCAACACATGTAAGTATTTAACATTACACTCTGAGGGGAAAATCAAAACAGTAAAAATCGAAAAATAAGTGGAAGGGAATAGGGAGGTTAAAGAACCAAGGAGAGCTCCAAAACCACAGAGAAACCCTGTCTCGAAACAACAACAACAACAACAACAACAACAAAAAATAGAAAAAAACCAAGGAGAATGTTAGTATGAAAAGGTAGAGAAATTTGTACAGAAAAATGAAAAAAACTGAAATCAGAAAAGAAGTGGAGCATGACTACTGGTGTAAAAATAGTAGATGCTATAAATAGTGTCATGCCAGTACATTTGAAAAACATTCTGCTAGGCATAGTAAATGCTAGTAATCTGAGAATTTGGGAAACAGTGGTGGTAGAAGGATCAGACTGTCAAGGTCAGCATGAACTAGTGAGGCCTTTTTGTAAAACAAAACAAATTAATTAATCAAATTTTCCTCAAGATAAAATAGGAAAGCTAAAATAGTAATTACAAAAGCTAGAGCCCAAAATCTTTTTTTATTTTTTTGGTATGTGGTGTATGTATGAATGTAATGTTACCAGTTTGTTTGGTGTGCAGTGTCTTGTTCTATCACTCTGTCCTTTGTTCTTTGTTCCTTTGAGGTAAGGTCTCTCACTTGAACCTGGAGCTAGGCTGGTGGCCGGCAAGTGCCGGTAAACTTCCTAGCTTCAAATCCCCACAGTACTGCGTTTACAAGTACATCCCTAGTGTTTTTTCTAGGATCTAGGGATTCAAGTGGTGGTTGTCACGCTCTCACCGCTCAGAAAGGCCTAAGACTTGCTTTGTAGCTGAGGATGGTCTTGAAATTCGATCCTCCTGACTTCCTCCCAGCTGCTAGGATTTTAGACAAGTGCCACCGTGTTCTGTTTATGTGGTGCTGCAGATCTGACCTAAGATCTCCTGCATGCAAGGAAGGCCCTCTACCAACTGAACTATAGCCTCAGCCTTGGGTCAAAACCAGTCTTTATTCTGCTTCCTCTTCCCAGTAGACACCACACATAGTCGGTGTTGGGGCCATGTTTGTCCAGAGTGATGACCATATATTTTACAGACACTGTCAATGACTAGAAAAGAAGGTTCTCTTATGTGACTGGTAAATCAAATAACATAGGAAGATGATACAAAAAAGCCTTAGGTAACAGCCAAAATAGACACAAATTCTCACAATTGAAATACGGTGTATCAGCCTGAATCAGCCGGGTGGTGGTGGCATGTGCCTTTAATCCCAGCACTCAAGAGGCAGAGGCAGGTGAATCCACTCAAGAGGCAGAGGCAGGTGAATCCACTCAAGAGGCAGAGGCAGGTGAGTTCAAGGCCAGCCTGTTCTAAACAAGAGCTAGTTCTGGAATTAAAAGCATGCACCACCACCGCCTGGCTGCGTGTGTAGCAGTCTTAACATTGATAATGGGAACATGATGTGAGGAACTGTGTTCAGTAATTTTGTTTAGGTGGTTTTGTTTACTTTGTTTTGGTCCAAGATGATGCAAATCAACATAAAGAGAGAGCCAGAACAGGAAAAAGATTAGCAGTGCATATCTGTAATTCTAGCAGGAAGAAGTGGAGTACCACCCCCATCTTTTAAATCCCTCCCTCCCTCCCTCCCTCCCTCCCTCCCTCCCTCTCTCCTCATAGGTTTTTAAAAATAAGATAAAATACTGACTCTGGAAGAAGCATTAACAAATTTGACTATATTATAAGTTTTCTTGTTAAAAGGTAATCTAAAAAGTTGAAAAGAGAAGTTATACACTGTGAGAAAAAAATGTGTAAGTCATGCCTGACAAAGTTACTATCCAAAATTAACAAAGCTCTCCTAAGTCCTTCTTCTTTCTCCTGACATCATCTGCTTTTTTTGGAAAGGTACTGTCAGCAGTTTGTCCTCACCTTGTCTTTGTTGCTTGGAACGTTATAATTGTCCATTTGTGTGATTTTTTTTTATTTTTTAATTTTTTGAGGGGTATGTATGTACATGTGAGGGTGTGTGTCTTACAGTACAGCCCAGGGTAACTTGGGACTTGAAGCAGTTCTCCTGTTTCAGCCTCCTAAGTGCTGGGAATACAGGCATGAATAACCACAGCTGGCTCGCGTGCATGTGTATCTGACTCTGTGCTCGCTTGAGACAGGATACCACTTGTATCCCAGGCTGTCCTGGAACTTGCTATGTAGACCAGATTGGCCGAGAACTTAGAGGTCCACCTGCCTCTGCTTCGAGAGTGTAGGATTAAAAGTGTGTACCATATGCCTGGCCCTCTATATGGTTTTGATTTGAGTTGTTAGGGAATGTAGAATTCAAGGGTACTCACATGCTTTGCTGCGACTTTAGCACCCTCCTAGAGTTAGTAATAATGTTCAGGTATTAGAAATTCATTTTTTTTAATTCAAAGAAGAGTTTATTCTTAGAAGTAATATGTAGTAGAGTCTGGTTATAAACCATCCTTGTTATAGCGGCCAAATTGTCTATGTTACTGTCACCTAGTAACAGGTGTTGAAAAAAATGCCTTGTGACAGTCAACACTTTGCCATCCATGCTGGTTGATTGTCAGCTTCCAGCAAAGCACTAAACTGCAGTAATGACCATTTTAGTCTCTCACTTACATAAGATCTAGGGGTAAAGATCACTGAGATCAGGTGGCCGGGCTTATTAATTTATTTCTGTTTGTTTTTTCGAGACAGCGTTTCTCTGTGTAGCCCTGACTGTCTGCCTCTGCCTCTTGAGTTTTGGGATTAAAGGTGTGTGCTCCACTGCCCATTGAGCTGGCTATTTTAAAAAGTAGGATAGTTCATGAAAAAGACCTTGAATTTGAAACTAGGTGTAACCATTTGAAAAAAAACTAAAAGTTACCCATAAATAACTGAGTTTAGGATAGACAATTTACATGGCAAGATAAAACGAGTGATATTTTTATTCTGCATTTTTTTTAGTAATAGTGAATTTTATTTGGTTGTGTCTGTTTTAGTTATTTAGACTGTATTGTTACAGTCTGAGTATTACAACAAGAAATACATTATAAAAAGACAAGATTTAATTTTTTTCTGCACTTGCCTTCAAATTTGTGTGATATGAGACTAGTAATTTTTACATCATGACTTACTCTCTTTTGAAAAACTTTCAGCTGTCATGATGCACATGTGAAGATCGATCAGAGGACAATTTGTGGCAGTTGGGTCTTTCCTTCTACCATGTGGGTTTTCTGGATCAAACTTGGGCCGTTAGTCTTGGTGGTAGGCACCTTTAACTACTGAGCCATCTTGATGTCCTAAAATCTTTAGCTTCTGTGGGTATATGTATTGATAAAAATTAGTCATTTTTATAAATATAAGGCATTTGGAAACAACTCATCAGAAATCAAAAGTTAAAAGAGGGGCTGGAGAGATAGCTCAGAGGTTGAGAGCCTTGGCTGCTTTTCCAGAGGGAAATTCAATTCCCAGCAACCACATGGTGGCTCACAACCATCTGTAATGAGATCTGGTGTCTTCTTCTGGCCTTCAGGCATACATACAAGCAGAAAATGTATACATAATAAATAAACAAACAAATCCTTTTTTTAAAGTTATAAGAATATTGTGCTCTTCATTCATTCGTTCATTGATTTATTTGGTTTTTCAGGACTGTTTCTCTGTATAAGAGCCCTAGCTGCCCTGGAATTAGCTCTGTAGACCAGGCTGGCCTCGAAATATTACACCATTTATATCTTGCCTAAAAGGTTGGGGGAGGGGCAGGGGAGAGGTAATGGGTTAGACTTCAATCCCTGGAACCAAAGGGGGAAATGGGTGTGATGGTAGTGCTTGTAATCACAGCATGAGATAGGTGGAGGCAGACAGATGTTTGAGGCCTGCTAGCTAGCCACCCTAACCTACTAGGTAAGTTCCAGGTGAGGGACAGACCCTATTTCAAAAACCCTGAGAAATGACACCTGTAGTTGCATGGTTTACAGACATATGTGCCCTTTGCACCCATGCCTATATGTGCACTTGGACCTAAATGTGCACATGTTTGCATGAACACATAACAACAAATCATATCTGTGTGTTGCTGAAAAGGAGAACAAATAAGCATATGCATGCATTGCTCTGGAAATACAAATTAGGAGTACCTTTTTAAAAAATATGCTATAAAATCATTGCATATAATTTTAATTATATACTTACCTAAGAGAATTATGGCTAGCATCTGTTAATTCCATTATTTTCTAAATTTGTATCATATTCTAAAGTTTAAAATACAACCACTGATATTTACTTTATTTGCTATTCCTACTAGGGTTGTAAAGTTGAGTTTTATACTTCTTTCAGGTTAAGGAACTGAACCATTACCTGGAGGCTGAGAAGTCTTGTAGGACTGATCTGGAGATGTATGTAGCTGTTTTGAACACTCAGAAATCTGTTCTACAGGAAGATGCTGAGAAATTGAGGAAAGAATTGCATGAAGGTAAATAAATATATGTTGTATATATTTTTACTTTATTCCAAGAGAACCATGTAGGTAATACTCATATTGATTAGTAACAGCAACAAATCCCAAGCAACCAATGCAGCATGCTAGTGATTTAGAGTCAGTTGAAAGCTGTGAGGGAATTTGGATTGTTTGCCTCTTCTTCCACCTCGACTACAGGGATAACGTCACAGGCGTGCACTCTGGGCAGAAAGCTGTGGTGAAGACATTCTGTGGAGAGAGGTAAATTAGCAGAAGTGAGCTGGGTGGAGAGGCCTCGTCCTGCGTTCTGAGGGACAGTTTTGATTTCACTATTGAAGTAGCAGTGTGATATAAAGTGAACACTGTATTATTTAAAAAGCAGCTGGGCTTGTGCCTGGTGGTTTACACCTATAATCCCAACACTTGAGAACTAAAACAGAGGAATCATCATGAGTTTGAGACCAGCCTGGGTTAGAGTGAGACCCTGTCCCCCAAAAAGAAAAAGAATGCAAAAACAAACAAACAAACAAACAAACCCGAAACAAAACAGAAACCACGGATTAGGAGCTGGGTCAGCAGTTAACAGCACCTCCCTGCCCCCCAGACAGGGTCTCACTGTGTAGCCCTGACTGTCCTGGAACTCACTTTGTAGACCAGGTTGGCCTCGAACTCACAGAAATCCACCTGTCTTTGCTGGGATTAAAGGAATGCTCCACATCCGCCCAGCGAGTCTGTTCTCTTTCAAATTGTGGGCCTCTCTCTCTCTCTTTAAAAAGAAAAAAAGCCTAAAAAAATAAAATGAAAAGCAAACAAATCACTCCAAAACAACCCAAAAGAAAAAAAAAGTATAAAATTGAATACTTGGGGTACAGAGTGTTCAAACCGCTGTTTCCTCGACATATTGGGTAACAAGATAGAGCAGCATGTGTAGCCACTGCAATTCTGAGGTCACAGTGAGCGTAAGTGAATAAAGGCTGAGATTGGCGCCACACACTTGTGTTCTGTTTGGACCTAGAGGCAGGAGAGCCAGAAGTTCAAAGTCATCTTTAGTTGCCACCTATCAGGTTGGAATCCCAGGATAGAGACCCATTCCCCCACACTCCCAGAAGACATCTGTGGTAACTGTACTGAGATATGAGAACAGTTGTCATTCTGTTAGTGTTGGTTGTGGGTCTAGTTATACTCCTGTGGTTTGTTTGTTGCCTACATTGCACAATAGTACAATAAAAGGAAATAATGAAATTCAGTTAGGGATAGTGAAAATAAAATTAAACTCTTTGAAAAAGGAGGTAAGCACTCTTGAGCTATAACCCCAGCCTCCTCTTATTTTTTCTTATGCAAATGGAAATCTTACTGGAAATCTTTCGTATACAGGGTTTAGTCTGTGGGTCGAATCCTATAGTGAATACTTTTATCAGATGCTGTTGAAAAGAGATGTGAACAATGTAGGATTCTATATGAGCTAACTTTCCCCTCCAAACAGTTGAAAACTGAAATATGTCTGAAGAATTACTATATAAAATGTTGTAAAAATCTCCCAGCCTTTGAGCAGGTCTTGACTTCAGGAACCAGTTTTTACATGTGCTGTTGGAATCAGAAAGACACCATACTGTCAGTGGGTGTCCAAAAGAAAAAGGTTTCCATTTGATTAAAATCAATTTAAGTTATTTAAATTTAAAATTTGTGTCCTAACCCTTCTAAAAATAGTATAAGTGATCGAGGTTATCAAACCTTCCTAAAATATATGAGAAAAGTATCAAAAGGTCCATTAAAATGGGGAAGTAAAAGCAATAATTTCTGGTGGTTGTGGACTTAGTTTGGTGGTAGAGCACTTCCCTAGCAAGAACAATGCCCTGAATTTGGTTGTTAGCTCTGAGAAAACAAGCAATCAAAACAAAAAAACAAAAACATCAGTACTTTGTGAGTTCAAAGCCAGCCTGGTCTACAGAGCAGGAGTTCCAGGACCTCTAGGGCTGTTACTTGGAGAGACTCTATCTCAGAAAACAAAACAAACAAGTGTCTTGGGGTGGTCAAGATGACTCAGTGGCTAAGTCTAGTGACTTGAGTTCAATTTCCAGAATCTACATGGTAAGAGGAAAAATTGACTACGTAAGTTGTCCTCTGACCTTCACATACACACAACCACACACACAGTATAATTAATTAAAAAGGTAATAAAAAATAAAAAGGAAAAATAATAGTATCTTTAAAAGAAGAGAGATAAAAACTGAGGAGCAATGTGACAGCCTAACAGCAGGTTACAGTCTAGTCTGGTGATTAGATGTGCAGTCACAGCTAGGCAGCTGCTGGTTGGAGCTACCACAGAGCTCCCCTACTGGGAAGTGTGTTGAGATGGGGCGGTATCTAATGACAGAGTAATCAGTTCTTTTTGTCCTATGGATAGGATTCTTTAAAAAACAAAGAGAGAAACAAACCAGGCTTAGTGGTGCACACCTTTGATCCCAGCACTTGGTAGGCAGAGGCAGGTGGATCTCTGAGTTTGAGACCAGCCTGGTTTAGAGTTCCAAGACAAACAGGGCTAAACAGAGAAACTCTGTCTTGAAAAAACAAACAAACAAACAAACAAAAAAAGTATTTTATTTTATTTTTTTATATATTTATTTACTTATTTATTATGTATGCAATATTCTGTCTGTGTGTATGCCTGCAGGCCAGAAGAGGGCACCAGA